TGTGATTTCCAACTTTCCTTCTCTACCAATCTCAGAAGTAAGCCTCCTGTGTGCTGGTTGACCTCAGTGACCTCCTGTGTGCTGGTTGACCATTTGCAGATTCTCCTTTTAAAACAGGTCGCAACTCCTGACTATATACATCTTCCAGGCCATAAATTGCTTCTGTGTGGAAGACCTTCATAGTATGTGGCTGATGTGACTCTCTGTAGCCATTCCCACCCTAATGTGCCTAGTCAAATGTAGTGACCTGTGTTTGATAAATTTGTTCAAATTAATAACCTGTAGCTATTGCTAGCTGAATGAAATGGTGGTTTTAAGCCAATTGGAGTGCTCAATCCATCTTGGTCAATTTGCAAAGAAGCTATATCTCTCCTCTGAGCTTCAGTTTGATTAGCCAACGTGACTACTTATTGGATTAGAACGTTCTGCTAACTTGTTTTTGCTGGTTAGACAAGGGAGTTGTTTATAGTCATTCTACCTTTTTGTGATTAGCTTTCCCAGGGTGTAAAGTTGAGGTAACAAGGTGGGAAGAGTAATGCTAAGGGGGTCAAATGACCACCCTCACCCTCCTTGATTCTCATTTCTATCCCTCTCCTCAGTAGCTATCCCCTCTCCTCAGTAGGTACTAATGACACCTTTGACCTTCGCTTAAATGAATACATCAAAATGGAGGACAGTATAGGAACTATGACTGGATCTTATTTGCCTTTGCATCTTCAGGACCTAGCACTGTAGTTGATTACACAGTAGCAACCTATTGAAACGTTGTTGAATGAGTAATAAACACACTGCTGCTACCTGTGCAGTGACATTCCCTGAGAACCCAGAGCACAATACAAGTCTGCATATTTTTTATATCAAGTCTCTAGTTTCAGGAATAATCTTCAGTGATAGCTCTAAACATTTTATGTTGCACTAACAGGCATGGAATATCAAGGGGTTTGTTGTTCGTAAGTCACATCTTTATGAACGCGTTTGGCTATTGCACAGACTTTGCATTACCTTAGCCACTTACAAAGTAATTCCAAATAAGTTTTGTCAGATGTTTTAGGAGAGTGGCTTTGGAAGGGTCCCTTTGTTTGAAACAGGCCACAAATGAAGTTGACATGAAGAATGTTCTTACAGAAGCAACCTGGGAAGACAAATAGTGCCAATGAATTCGTTATATTTCACCTTCTCCTCCTCCTCCTCTGTTCTTCTGATAGTTCTACTTTGCTTAATGTTTTGAATATTTAATACTATGCTAATTTTCTCCATTTAGTGTCATTTCTATTCTTGAGAAAATTTTATAGAAGTTGTTCCTCCAATATTTAAAATAAATGGAGGTGGTATTTGGGACATTTGCATTGTTTGAGATTATTTTGAACCTCAAAAATTGTTTTTCTTTCTCTATGAACTTTTTTTAATGTTTAAAGGTGGTGACAACTACTAATAATGTAGTCATTTTCCTTTCTTCTCAAGTTCCAATTTTAGGTAGGAAAGAAAAATAAGATTTCACTGGGGTAGAGTCATCAAAGTTGATGTATGTCATAATTGCCTTAATAGCATTTTTTTGAACATTGATGCAGTAAAATATGGTAAAAAAAATGTACCCTCTAAGAATTCAAACACATAAGGACAGGATCACCTCCATATATTATTTAAAAAATAGCCTTGGTCTGTGATTTAACTGTCTAGTTTTTCTGTTACTCTAAGCCCTTGAGACACATAATCTCTTCCTCAAAACAGAGCCTCCTATTTAAATTCATACTTAAGAATTTATTCAGGATGAATGGGCCTAGAATGATTAGGGAAATAAGAATTGGTAGCATCTTAGAATGTCAGAGTTGAGTGAGACATCAGAGATCATCTGTCTGAACTCTGCCTTTATCAGCAATGAAATAAAGGCTCAGGAGGAGAAAGCCATTTCCCCATGTCACACATATTATTAGCATTAAGACAAAACTATGCCCCTTTCACTGTGCCAAATTGGTTAACATTCTGGCATACAGGATGTTGTTTTTGTTTTTTGTTTTTCAATTTCTGTATATTTACAACAGACTCTCATCTTATTCACCACAAATCTTGTACTAAAATATGTACTTTCATATAGAACGCTGAGTGACCCATGACCCAATGTTCAATTCTCACGATACCATGGATTGTGTATTTACCTCTTATAAATAAAGGTTTGCGTGAATGAACATGGTAAACAAAAAACGTGTAAAGCTTTTTAGAACAAAGGCTTTACTGGTAAATTTAGAATGTTTTAGCTAATATTAACTGTAAAAAAAGAAAGGTTCACGAATTCTTGTCCTTAAACTAACAGAGTATGTTTCCTTGTGATGCATGTTTGAGTCAGTGATCGTTTTGATGGACTAGCTCTTTCTTCAAGAAACGAGTTAATGTAGGCCTTTTTCCAAGATGACCTCATATTCAAAAACACCTCCTATCTTCCACAGCAATGAGAAAATGGTGTGTTTGGCAAAGTGCTAATTGCTGAGTCTCTGTAAGGAACTGAGGCTTGTCTGTAGGTGGTAGGAAGGGACCAGTTGAAATGGGTGCAGCTGGAGATGACTTAAAAGGGAATTGCAAAGGAGATTATGCAGGTAGAAAGGGCCTTTGTACTGTGGGGTGTGACATACATCCTGCTTTTAAAAAGTTCTGTTATCAGCACTTTGATAACCATCCTGCTCAGACACCCTACTCCCCTTCCAATCTTCCCTCAGATCCCTGGCTCTCCCAACTGTAAGCCCTGGTGAAATCTCAACAATAAATAAATATGCTCTTTATAATTCTTAGACTAGAAACTCAGAGAGAGTGTAACGTTTACGATAGTTCACAAACGTCAGGCATCTGTTGTCAGCAGAACAACATAGAGGATGTAGCAATTAATGCCAAAACTCTGGAAAAACGAATTCCATGCCCAAGTACTCTGTAGCTCTAAAATTCAGCAGAATTGTTAAAACTGATCAATTAATGTACTTTTTATTTGGAGAATTTGTTGTCTGAACTTATCCTTGGATTCAGATTATTTTCCATATTAATGATGCCATACTACAGCTCCTTTGTCTTAGACCAGTTTTAGTTATTATCTTCACAATATTGGCTAAAAAAATCACAAAGACTCTGCCTGTTATTAAAATTTCAAAAGTGTTTCATTTTTGCAAGACTTTTTAGAACCAGCCAATGGGAAAAAAATCAAGCATCACTTGTAAAAATTTTTCTAATATCCTAAAATATATTCACACACCATATATCCATCATTATATTTAAGGAAAAATATAAACCACAAACCCAGAACTTGCCATTAAGTTATACTTAGCATGTTTTCCAAATCCTAACAAGGCAGAAAATTGGTTTTCAACCAGAAATGTTATTATATGTGTATAATTTTTCTTAAACACATCATGCTTTGAAAATATATTTGCTTTTCCTCTTTGAAAGAGGATAGTAGAGCCGAATAGTCTTTCTCTTGACAATAGCTGGCAAACGATATATGCTTAAAAAATGCTTTTTGGTGTGGTATGAATTTTGGTGTGGATTAAATGCAGGTATGACCTTGAGAATAGATTGGCTTAAAGAATATTAAAACCGGGGCACCTGGGTGGCTCAGTTGGTTAAGTGCCAACTTCCGCTTATATCATGATCTCACGGTTCATGGGTTCGAGCCCTGCATCCAGCTCTGTGCTGACAGCTCAGAACCTGGAACCTGCTTCAGATTCTGTGTCTCCCTCTCTCTCTGTGCGCCACCCCCACTCACACTCTGTGTGTGTCTCTCTCTCAAAAATAAACATTAAAAATTAAAAAAAAAAAAAGATAAGGATATAAAACAACACCTGGGATGCATCTTCCAACCAGAGTGGTCAAGCACTGTCCAGCTGGACCACTCCCACTGTCACTTGCCTCAGCTCCATTGTCCCAGGAAATCCTGATGACCTGCCAATAAGAACGAGAGACACAGTGTGCTGGAAATGCTCAAAGGTTCCTTTGAATCCCCTCCCTCCAGCTCCTTCTTTATCTTTAAAGGGAAATAGTTATGGAAGAGAAGAGACAGCAGTGCTATGGAGAACCAAGCAATAGATTGCAGTTAAAGGCTTGAGGCTCTAAATCACATTTCTACTAACAACAGTTCTGGGATTATTGTAAAATTACTTAGCCCTTTTACGAGTTAGTAAAACTTCCTCTTCCCTCATCTTTAAACATATGAGGTTGGTGTAAATTTCCAAGTCCTCTTGAAGTTCCCAGACCCTGTAATTCAGACTCCCCATAAAAAATAAATGGAACGAACCCCGGGATGTTCAATTTTCTAAAGTCAAGTTGTAAAGGGTATAGGCTTTTTCACTAACAAATGCCAGAGTTATACGGAACTTTGTGGGTGCTCAATAAATATTAAACAATCAATTTTATCTTTCTCTGCAAAATGAGGTGAGTAATGCTGACTTGTCTCACGGAATTTCGTGTGAGAAATAATAAACGAGAACAAAGCACTTTTCAGATAATGAAGTAATTCAAATAAGCCGCTTTAATATCTGAGGTCTAGCTAGGTGATGCAAGAATAAAGTGTCTTTTTTTATTATTACGTCTGTGAGATACAGCAGTCTTTTCATCTGTTTAAGAAGAAACAGTCATTATCCTTGCTTATCACCAAAAGTCAGCATGAGTAATTTTTGTGCAAATGGGATTTCTCATGTGATTTTAACATTCATCATTTTTAGCACACCGCACCTTTTATCTTTACCTGATATCAAAATGGAATCATGTCTTGATTTAAGTAGTTTAACGAGGTGTTCCATCAGCATTGCACTATTCTGCCTAAAGAAAATGCTTTCTGAAATGACTGATAAGCTGTACAAATGAGAAAATTGTAAATTTAATAATCCTCCTACTCAAAATAATACAATCCAAAAATTGCTGCTAAGGAAAATGATGTATCGTGTTCTGGTTTACTGGAGAATTCCACGCTCTGTTCTTTTTTATGTTTGTGTTCTACAAATATTATGTGCTATTTTTTTTTACAGTGTTTCAACAAAAGACAGCCAGAAAACAATCTGATGGCGACAGGTTCCACAGTCCTAAGAGACAAGGTATTCACATGAGCTTCAGTTTATTTAATAATCTCTAAGTAAGGTCTAAAGAAGCCTTATGAATATTGAATAAAGTCTCCGAGGATAGAAGTAAATAATTGTAAAACAAACAATAGTAATAATAACTGTGTGCCTGATGAGTTTTACTCTTAAATTAGTGTCTTGCCCAAATATAATTTTGCCATAATAAGATTAATACAAGAAAATTATTGTAATTTATAAAGGCAAGAAACAGCCTTGTGAGAATGTTTGTGGCGATGTTGATGATGTTGTTAGCAGGGCTCTAGGAAGGTCAAGTAAGACAAATCCTCTAACATGCATGGAGACCATGCTATTATAGGCCTTTAGAGAGAGTAGCCTCTGGAACGTAAATTGGGGGCAGTGGCGGACAGATGATTGATTCCGCAATGAAGGGAACCAGCGTGGGATGTCTGTACTCTGCACTGAACTCCATTCAGAGACTGTGCCCTTTTCTCACTATTCTCTTGCCTTCAGCACTTGATCCAGCATTTTGGAGAACACTTACTTGTCATGCAGAAAAGAGCTGAATACTGAAGCTATAGAGACATCACACACAGTGGAAAAATTTTCCTCTTACTCTACAAAGAGGCAGCTGCCTCCGGTTTACCCTGACATCCGTGGTTCCTATTGAAAAGAGAAACTCTAGTGGGTTATTTATTGTGATCCTCCCCCCGCCCCCCGATAATAAGGGCTTGGTTAAAGTTCAAAAGTGAGAAATGTAAAAGGTGACAGATGTAGGGGGCTGGCTCTGATCACCAGTGAGCACGTGCTGATGCTTTTGCCCTCTGTCCAACCATTTTTCTCTAAACCTTTTCAGATATTTTCTTATTATACCATGAAATCCCAGGATAGTTAAAGACTAATCACTAATTCAGTAATAAGCAGTTTTGATCAGCTAGTATGTCCCATGGACTGGATGGTCATAAATACCCGAAAATAACTTCAGTCCAAACAGCATTGCCTTGAAATTGCTACCAGTGAATTATTGAGAGAGACATTAAAATAAAATCAAGAGGTTATCTCACAGCAGCCACAAAACACCCCCCCTAGCCAGTTTCCTTTTGTGCCATCGTAGAGATGGCTAGGCAATGACTGCACCAACTTCTAATACCACCAAGCAGTTAAATACACCACCTTGGAGTGTCTGGGTGGCTCAGTCGATTAAGTGTGTTACCTCTGCTCAGGTCATGATCTCATGGCTCATGAGTTCAGGCTCCTCATTGGGCTCTGGGCTGTCAGCACAGAGCCCGTTTCAGGTCCTCTGGCTCCCTCTGTCTCTGCCCCCTCTCCCCCATGTCTCAAAACTAAATAAACATTAAAAATAAATAAACATTAAAATTTAATAAACTTTAATAAACTTTAAACATTTAATAAACATTAAAAAAAAATACACAACCTCAGTGGACCTGCTTCTAAGACAGCCATGGATTGTCTTCCAAACAAAGGTGTGTCTTTAAATGAGAGATCTTCATCCATCACTTCAAGTGGCATTTCCAATGGCAGCAAGGTTGTACTTAGATCATTCTCCCAATTAAGTACATGATGCTTGAATGCAACACATAATAAAGCAGAGTTTCTGGTCCTCCCTGAACCCATAGATATACTGCTTACAAATTTATATGCCAAAAAAACCCCTCTATTTGACACTTTCCATTTCTAGTGATTCACTAATATGAGGGAAAAGATTATTCTTTTTAAGGTTACCATTATCCTTCCACTGGACCTTTATACCTGTCTCAAGAAATAAGTGCAGAACTCCATATGAGATCATTGTACAAGGAGAATCAAACAGTTCCTGCAGGATTAACAAAGTAGAGATTATTCCTATCAGGACTCCCCCACATACCTCACAGCATTTGGGAAAGAATAAAGAGAAAGGGTGCTTTGAGCTCTCTAGGAGAATATTTCCCTGAAGCATTTTTAAATAAATTATTCAATTTTCATGTTTTAATTAAACGCTGTTGGAATGAAGGGGGAAATGTGAAGAAGGCCACCAGAGATGAAGGAAGCTGACAAATAGCAAAAATAATAAAAGATCCTTGGAATTCTTGCTCTTACCGGTTGTCCTCTGGCTTTCCCCCAGAGAGCAGCCTAAGGAAAAGCTGTAGTGTCCATGAAGCCTAAAAGAGACCAATCATTCTTCTATTGTATGAACAGAAAACTAGTCTCTTCTGTACCAGAAAAAAAGGGGACAGTGAAAGAAATCAAGAACCTAATTGTAAAATATTTTATTGGATCAAATTCTGCCCATCTCTTGTTACCTAATTGGTTTCATCAAGGTCAACAATGGCTAGATTTTTTAAATGATTTTAGGGCGAGGATGCTGAAATTTTAATCAAATTTGGTATGAATTTTTTCTCTCTAGATATTTAAATCCAACTTATTGATAATATTTGAGATTAGTCACCTGAGACCAGTTTCCCTAGATCCCTCCAACCGAAGACATCAGTAATTCTGCAGAACAGAAAAGAATATTGTTCTATTGCAAGGAGAAGAGGAACATTAAACCTCATAGAATGTTGGAAAACCTCCCTGATTACTGCAGTCTTCGGGGAAATCAGAATCTAGTAGGAGAAGAGATAATTAAGAATAATTGGGAAGATTTTAAAATTAAGGAATTAAATACCCCAAAGGGTTTACTCTGTCCAACCATTTTTCTCTAAACCGTTTCAGATATTTACGACCATCCAGGCCATGGGACATACTAGGTGATCAAAACTGCTTATTAGTGAATTAGTGATTACTCTTTAACTATCCTGGGATTCCATGGTATAATAAGAAGAGCAGTACCTGCTTCGCCAAACAGAACAAAACAAAACAAAAAACAAAAGGCCCTTTTCTGAAATGTTTGTCAGAATCAAGATTTTCTAAAGGGACTAAACAGGTTCTCTAAGGACGGATAAAGAAATTATTTAATTCTTTCACTATATGCTGGAAGAAAAAGGGATTACAAGAGCCAACTATTTTCCCTCTGAAATTATAAGTGTTTCAGATGCCCTACATTCAAGACTGCCAAGGGATTGCCAGGAAGTTACATTATTGCTAAGTCAAGGAATTTTCCTGAGGAACAGAAAAAATTAATTGGCACCATTTCCATGGAAACTTAACAGATTTCTTCAACTCAATTTTCACATCCTGAAAAAATATAAGGAAAATGGTGAGGATTTTGGATCACAGATAAAAGTTTCCATCAAAATACAGTCTTAAAATCCATATTCCTGAGTTGGTTTTGAAATTAGAAAAATGCCAGAGTGGTATCACAGAATATGCTGCTAGCACATTCCCCCTCTCTCAAAACTGAACTTCTCAGTGGTCAAGGGTTTATTCAGAGAGGCACCTGGGTGGCTCATTAGTTTAAGCTCAGCTTAGGTCAACTTCAGCTCAGGTCATGATCTCACAGTTCGTGGGTTCGAGCCCTGCGTTGAGCTCTGTGCTGACAGCTCAGAGCCTGGAGCCTGCTTCAGATTCTGTGTCTCCCTCTCTCTCTGCCCCTCCCCCACTCATGCAGTCTCTCTCTCTCTCTCTCTCTCTCTCTCTCTCAAAAATGAATAAACATTTTAAAAAATTAAAAAAAAAAAACATTGCAAGCCAGAGAACTGAATTTTGTCAGTGGGTTTGAAGTTGATCAGAGTTTTGAAGGCTGCGTCATGTTAATGACACTCATAGAGGACTGATTGATAACCCTTACTTTCAATTTATTAAATCTATACTAGGGGAAGTTTCCTTCCCAGTGACTGGAATGCTTGGATTCATTAGGCCCCTACCAAAGAATAAAGTTTCTATGAAATAGTATTAGTAATTAGAAGACCACTAGGGAACGCGATCAAGTCAAAGAGGGCTGGAGGAATGTAAGGGCTGCTTCTTCAAAGACATGGAAATATCTGGCTAATTTTCCCGGCCTTAAAAATCATATAATAGTCTAGGATGCTCACATCTCCCAGACCTGTTACACCTTTTCTTTTCCATCTGTTATATCTTTTTCTTGGACTATGCCAAGGGGCCTTTTCTATCCTCACCAGAATCATCGGCATATCATTAGTGTAGTCTTACCTCAAATATGATACGTAGCAGCTAATGAGGTTTAGCACTCCTAACATTCTGAACTGCCTTCCTGTGACTGTGGGTCACATACACAGATCTCCTCAGTCACACAGTTAAATAATGAATCTCATCAAGAGTGTGCTATTGCTGTCACTCTGGGAAGGCAAACCATTTCTTTGGAAGATGGGGTCAGATGGGAGGTAGGGGGAACATGTCCATGCTAACTACCTGCCTATTTTCAGTGACTCCCAACCCTTGATGAGCCTAAGAATCATTTGTGGAGCTTCTAAAATTTGGTTGCCCAAGTCCTACCTTAGACATGGCTAAAAATGGAACACATGAGAATAGTAATGAGCAATAATCTTAAAACCAACATGCCAAAGAGAAAATATAACCAAAAGAAACTTTTCTGAAGGCCACATTGTGGTCACATTTGGCCACTAAGTGTGTTATATTTCAGAAATCATCTGTACAATATAATTTTAATTTTTGCCATGTTTAAACCATGCTTAAATTCAAGTTTCAGGTAAAAACTCCAACCACTCCCTAGTATATTCCTGTATCATTTGCTACAAGACGACTTTTGCTGTTACCATTTATTATCATGCTTTCCATGTTTTCTTATATTTGAGACACATCCCTGTAGACTCATAATTCTATAAAAAGTGAAAAAATAAAAGGTATATCAAGAGAATCATGTCAATAAAAACATGAAGGAAAGCATATTTATTTTTCATAATGAAAACTATTCACATATGTTTAATACTCAGGCACTAAATCTTCTCTGCTCAGTAACTATCTGCCTAGCCCCTGGTATAGTCTCTGTCTGCCCACTGATTCTTCAATACAGACTGAAAAGTCATTATTGGCTGGCCTTTTCAGGGAGTGTGAATGCTCATGGGAAAGATATAGTCAGGGAACACATCTTGTTTGTGTTC